GTTTTGCAAATTTCAAGAGAACATGATTGTCTTATATAAAAGATAACCTTGCTTTTAAGGAGAGATGCTGGTGATGGCTTATTCAGGATTGGTCAGTCAGGATTGGTGAAATAAACACAGGACCATTAGCATGAAGACAGTGTAAAGACCAAAGACAGGAAGACAAGTAAGGAGCTAGGAGATCTAAGAGCCAAGACTTGGAGAAATTCCATTCATTTTGCAGTAAATAGTCAGTAGAGGTCATGAGATATGAAAATTCTGGACCTATTAAGAGACTGAGGCAAGAGCCAGAGAAGCAGCAGGAAAGCCAAGGGAATGTGGTGTCCTGGCAGCTAGGACTAGAGACAGAGGGAGTGGTCCACAGTGTAACCTACTGCTGAAAGATCATCAGCTCTGTGACACAGAAACTACTGTGTGCTCCAAGCATAGATCCCACTCATGACCATCCTGAGGACAGTCAGGAGTTGAGCGGTGGTGACAGGAGACTAGTTGAGGTGCTCTGTTCAGACAGGAGGAAAGTAAGATGAGGCAGGTACACAAAGGAAAGGCTAGTGCCTTGGACTGCATGACAGGCATTTGTCTTTGGTTGACTTCATAATTTACATATATGTTAAATGTATTCTTTATATAAATCAAATGCTACACAATAAAATGTGCCTTTACAGATAGAAACAGGGAGAGAGGAGAAAACCAATATAGACAATGTTTCAAAGGTGGGAATAGAACATTGAATGTTGGGCTCTGGAGTAGGGGGCCATAGTGTGAGGGTGCCAGCACTTGTGCATGGGCAAGTTCTGAACATTCTCCTTTGCACGCAGGTCCTCAGGTCCTCAGAGACTCCACTGGGGGGAGCAGGGTGGGGATAACAAACCAACAAAATTCTCAAAAGTATTTTTCTCTCGACTGCAAATAACTCATTTCCTCACACATAACTTATAAAGTAGAAGGCGAAATGTGTGAACTAAGTAGTTTCAAGTTTTGATGGTAAGGGCATTATGAGAAACTATAAAGCAAAAATGAAGTCCTTTTCAGGACAATTATCTATTGATTGTGTCCTGCAGGTTTTCAGCTGGTCAGTGTAGTACAGGAAAGATGATGATGAATTACTGAAGGTTCCATTAGTTCTGGAACTGACAGCAAGCAAGCAAGTTCTAATGTGCTTAATAATCATTTCTTTATCTTGTTTTCCCTTGATTAACCTGAATCATTGAGTTGCAATAATGTAAAAGACTGAGATTTCTGCTTCTCAAACTGCTTTGACTTAAACCCCAAAAGCAAAAACAAAGGACAAAGTGATTGGATTACAATCCCTGGCCATGGCTGTGAATTTTGGTCTTTTTTTTTTTCTTTCACACACATTATTTCCCTAACATCTGTGCAATACAAATAGATCTAGAAAGTGTGAAAGGGAAAATCTGCTCTACTAAATATATAAAAGGGACCCCAAATGAAATCTCCAGGATCACATTCATCATAATGGGCACAGATGGTACCTTTTTCCAGTTCACTCTCTACCTTCCCCCTCCCCACCCTACCCTCAGCACCAACTCAAGTTTTCTAGCCACTGAATTGTGAAAAAAAAAATTGTAAGCCAGTAAATGCCTGATAACACCAGAGAATCCATCTATACACTGTTTCCTGTATCAGTACTCTGTGCACAAAAACCTTTGGGCCAATAAATCAAGAAAAGTATGGGTTCCAATTTAATAGTATGAACAGTGTACACCACTTGTTGCTATGGAATCCAGAAATGACCTGGATAGGAGCTTAATGCTTTATGTGATATCTTGCCATTAATCAATGAGTTTATTGTCATCCTACAACAATGATTTCATCATTTCTTCTTCAGTGCCTCTGTCACAGAACATGACATCTGCAAGTTCTCGCATATCTATACTTATGGTATAAGGTATATAAATCACTGATAGGTCGTTTTGTTTCTTAAAGTATGTAAGGAGACTTTAAGATGCAGTTGTCTAGAAGTCAGAAAGCCCACGAGAACACATGTATACTATAAACAGTCATCAGATGAGCTGTTCTGCCTGAACTTGAGAAGCAATGCCCATGAAGAAAATAGGAAAGGGTGAGACAAGTAGGAAGCTTTAGGGCTCTCAATTTGCAGGGCAGGTTAAGGGGTTACTAGAGCCATGTGGCTTCTGGATATGATGGAAGGTCAGTAGAGCCGAGCTGGGTGCAAAAAACACTACCAGAACAAGTGAGGAATCAGAAAGAAACAGAAAGAAAATTGTTGGATGAATCTCAGGGCCCACTTTTGACTACAAGTTTTATTCATCTATGAAACATACTCATCAGAGCAGAAATGCTTTATAATAGGTCTTAGAACTCTGACTAGCAAACACTCACATTTTAAACATTTTGATTAGGAGTTAGGGAGTATGTGTTTTCCCACTACTGAGCTGCCAGCTCGGAAGAAAAAATACCACAAAACTTTTACTTTGATACTGTAAATCTACTTTTACAAATAAAAAATAACTACTATAAATATTTACAGAGAATAGTGCTAATAGAGGGTTAGCCTTACGTATTTCCATTAAACATACTGCAAAGTTAAATTATAAGTACCTTTCATTTTCCCACTGCTCAATAGAACCAACAATCACAGAATCATGATGTTAGAAGTGACCCTTGGGGTTACCTGGTTTGAGAAGAGGAAACTAAACCTCAGAAAGGATAAGTGGCTTGAAAAACACCACACTGAACATTCATTCCGTTTTTCTAAAAGTCCTTAAACGCCACACACATCCGGGAATGTACTACAGAAAAGGCACATAGGTACTGAATATCCTCTTTACTAAAGGTAACCTGTCCTGCTTTTCAGAATGAAAAGACAGGAAATACTGAGAGAGAAGTTGGGATCTCTCAGTAAGCAAACTGTTAGCACAGAAATCTGCAGCTGAGAGACCCATTCAGGCTGGGCTGGCTCTGTAATGACCATGTTACTTCTGGTTTAACTGCTAGTTCATCTCAGAAACAGAGCTTATTATGGTTAAATGTGATCTAGACAGTGTCACTCTCTAGACATGTCCACTATCAAATGCTGCATGTGGAAACCCAGAGTTGGAGAGGAGGTAGACAACAGAGGTGTTCAGCCCTTCTGTGTAAGTGCAGTCTAGGGAAAAGAGATTAGGCCAAAGAAGCCTCCTTGTAAGGGCACAGCAAGACAGGGCAAAGAGTTAGCGGATCCGTTTTGTGAAATGGACAACACAAGTCATTCAAGTAAACAACTGAGAACCCAACCAAGCGCAACTTTTGAACTTCTGAATAGCTTTTGCTGTCTTCAGTGTATGCTACTGAGGACAGGATGGAGCTTCTCCCAACGGAGCATGGTAGAAAGCCTGGTTTGAGTCCTGGCTCACTGGCTTATTTCAGTGTCTTACATAACCTCTCTGATTCAACCATTGACTACGAAGGAAAGAATTGCCACCTACTTCCTGCCTAAAAAAGTAAAGGACACTGTTTATGACACAAAATCTACTCAATCCACATTCCTAGGATCATACTATGTCCTGAAAAAAGGACTGGAGAGATGAGAGAGGAATTTAACACTATCCTTGTCCTCAGTATACTCACAGTGTGTGTTAAGACAAGGAGGTTGTGGTACATTCATAATTGTAATATGGTAAATGCTGCCTTAGTGTTCTACAAAAAGGCTGAGAGAAACTAGAGGAAGTGATTCATTACACCTGCCAGGTACTGTTACTCCAGGATATTATTTCGATCTTAGCTTTACAAAAATGAGCACACTGCTGTGGAAAATTGTGTGGATAACCATAAGTCAATGGACAAACACCTCAATTATCCTTAAATTATAACAACTACTACAAACACAGGAAAATACTTTGCTTGCCTGTTTAGAGTTGACTCATTCATTTTTCTAACAAGCACAGTGCTAGCAACTTTGAAAAGCAATATAAATTGTATCAGAAAAAGCAAGCCTGAGGCTATTACCAGGTGGCTATGTAGAATCAGTTACCTAGAATCTTATATTTAAAACAAACAAAAATCAATTATGGAAAATAAGCTACATTTGCAATATCCACAAAAGATATGTCTTGAATTAATGTGCAACTAAGGGTTGAAAATCTGCTATGTAGTTAATTCAACATTCTTCTCTGTCCCCCAATACCTATGAAATCTTTGGAAATAAAAGACTAAAAAATTACCTGTTTGAGTTATTGGCTGACTTCACTTAAAGAAAAAATGCAGGTACAGAGCCTTAAAAAAACTGCACACATCAAATTATACTACAAGTTCTGTATTGAATCCTGGCTTTGTTTATATAGTTTGAGTTATGAACCACAGGTCAGAACCACAACACTCAGCTGGTTCAACTTAACTCACTTAACAAAAAGAACCCATGATCAATCACACCTGGCCCCTTTATACTTGCTATATTAATAATCATATATCCATTGATACAAACATCATTGAAGATAAATCTTAAAGTGATCTTTTTTTAAAAAAATGGTCTTTAAAGTCAGAAGAGTATAAGGAATCAGTCAAATGATGATTCATACACAAATACCAGTAGCTGCAGTCCACCCAGACTGATGCATAGATAGGCTGTTCTGGCTCAGGACGAGGTCTCCCTACCAAGTCAATAATGTCACTGTTGGGATAAAGTTAGGCAATGTGCCTTCATGAAATAACTACCCGAGACAAAACAAATACTCTCATTTCACAAAACTGCCAACCCCTCCAGACTGAGATTCCAAAATTAGTGAGAACACAGTTTGTTAAATGACATACTCTAAAACCCAATTTGCCTATAGGTCTAGGAATTAAAGTATCACTCCAGTTTCCCAATGCTACATTCCAGAGGAGGCAGCAAACACATAGAAGGGGCAAAAAGGAACTTTACCACACTATTTTTCTCACAGGCACACACAGTCATACCAGAGAAGGCATCTGCACTCTAATCCCTTCTTAGTAGAAAATACACATATTCAAATTGAGTCCCCAAATCTAGAACAAATTACCGTAGTAGCCACAGCCGTAGAGAGAGACCACTGATGAGAACTGCAGATCTGGCCACCTGCTTTGAGACACCTCGCACCAGGACGCTGCCGGGGTCTTTAAAAGCTCGCCTCTTCCAGTAGGGCACATGCCCTACTAAATCTTTTATATCCCAGGAAATGAGGGAAGATGCCTCCCTGAATCTTTTAACTATGCTGCTGTTACTGTATCCATTTCTGTTAAATACTGTTTTGCAATTTTTCCAAAGAGAAAAAATAAAAACAAGGAGAGGATTGCACCACTGCAGAGCTAAGTGAAGTAAGCACTAAACTACAGAAACGCCAATAATATCTCCTGCAACTAGGATAATCCCACATATTATCTAGTGTCAGTCCAACGCAGACTTGGGCGTGCAGTGTCGTACCCATAGGAAGCTCAGCTTCTCTGCAGCTTGTGCCTCTGCCAGCTCCCCCCACGCGCAGAAATTCAGCAGAGAAGTTATGGTGCCCAACCTCTGTGTACAAGATAGATCAGGAACCCACACTCAGCAATATGCCAAGTGGCCAAGACATCAAATCGGCAAACAATCAGAAGGCACTGGAGGAGGGGAGGATGGAGGGACCACATTGTTTGAATTTTGCTGCATTGCCAAGGCCCGGGGATGTAGGGGTAAGAGGAAAGGCACCCCCAGTCAAAAATGGATGGGACACTTGGCTCCTTCCCTGCCTGTGTGCAGGTAGCAACACTGTAGGCGACATGACAGCTGTTCCCACTAAAATTCAGGTGGTAGGTCAGGCTGAATAGCGCAGCCCACCAGGGTAAGGGAGGCGCTGGAAGGGCACTACAGTGTGCCTGCACCCCACCTGACAGCGCCCAGTAAGCGACGGCCGGACCTGCCACGTGCCCCCTAAGCGAGCCCCCGCGAATTCGTGGGGGAGGGGGTAGCTGTGGGCGCTCACCCTGCTAACCACAGGCATTGCACCGGGCACAATGGTCTGAAAGGAACCCAACGCAAAGCCCAAATCCGGAGATTTGGCTCACAAGGGGTGGGTGTGGGCTGGGTGGGGGGATTACGTAGGTCTCTCCACCTCCTCCCCAGACACTTCCTCGCCACTGGGAGGGCGCTTGGGCGCGGGGGAGGCGCCGCAAACCCGCTTGGGGTCTTCTTTGTTTCTTTCTGTGCTTCGTAGGAGGACCGGGTGTGTCTGCTGTCTCCGAGACAGGGTCGCCGCCGGGGATGCCTGCCCTGCAGGGGGGTGGCGCACCCCAAGCTGACAATTGAACCTCGCGGGAGAAGCAAGAGGGTGGGGAGGAGGGTGGATCCCAGGCCCTGGGGAGGGAGGGCGCTTCTGGGGCCTCAATAGCTTCGGGGAAGTCGCCCAGGGAAGGGCGGGGGAAGGGGCGGCGGGCAGTCTCAGCGCGAAGCCAGCTTACCTTGGCAGCCCCAGCCTGGGCACAGATCATACTCCCGTCAGCACACAGGTTAAAGCCGGGGGGCGCACGTGCCACGCATGGCGAGCCAGGCGCCGGCGACCTGCCGGGGGACTGGGACACCCGCTAGCCCTCGTGGCGTTCCAGATGCGGGTGCCCCAGGTGAGCAGCCAAGACCACAGCCAGGGCGGAGGGGCGCCCGCCGTTCCGTGAGTTGTGCGCGAGGTCAGGGCCTCTGGGTCAGAGACGCGCGGTATCCCGGTTCCAACAACAGCGCCTGATGCACGGTAAAGCGGCACACTTCACCGCTCCTCCCGCCCGCATCCCCTCCCTCCCTGCCTGCTCCTGTGTGGGTACCAGACTCCTGAACCAACCACAAGCCGGGCTTGCTCTCATTAGAGCTGCCCCGCCTTGCAGCCCTCGCGCGCACCCCCCTCCCCCGCCCGCCGTAAATATATATTGATTCCTGTTACCGCCGGCTCCATCCTTCCAATACCCTCAATCATACTTGGTATATCCAGCACCAGCTCTGGCCCATCCGCTCTTTTGTGTATGTGCAGTGTGTTCAAGAATGATGTGATACAGACTGCCCAGGCACGGATCCTATGCCAACTGTTCCTAGCCTCTATCTTAGACACTTTTTCCTCACCTACATTAGAGACAATTATGAATACTCACACATGTTTAGGCACCGTCCAGTATTTTCACCGCAAATACAAAAAACAACCACAGATGCAAAGAATGAAGATCCCTTCTGAAAATCTATTGTTGTGCGATTTTAGCTTTCAAACTGAATTTTTTATTAAATTGCCCTCAGTGTCAGTGCTAGAACTGGAATTAAGCAAATGCTAAACTCCTCCATGCAATCAAAGAAGATGCAGAGAGTGGAATATTGGTGACTGTTGGTTGTTGACTGCTTCGTGCATATAAGTCTACCTGGACTTGGGTGGGTATTTGGCCTGTGTGTGTTCATATGTAATGTGTTTTTTTTTTTACACATAATCTCCATAGTAAGAGTAAGTAATCTCCTCACCTAAATGCATTCCTTACAATGTGCACTTATTTCTTATCACGTTGAGAGGTTTTCCACATACTGAAAGGGTCTCTTTCCCATACCCCAAAGACAATCCTTCTCTAGAATATAAAAAGCCTTGGCAGTGACTGCAAGACTTCTTACAGAAAATGGAGTACAAGCCTGCCAATACCTACCCTCCTCCCATCTCAACACCATATGATGAGCTGCTTTTCAGTGGTTCTCATTCCACTGACATTCCTTTTGACAATGACTTTGCTCTCACCACCAGAACTTCGCAAAAGTGGAAATCCTGGAAGATCTGAAAACAGCTTCACCAAGTGTGCTCCTGTCTCCAGGAAGGTACAAGTCATCAGTCTTTCCCTTACCTCAGACTACTAGAAGTGGAGGTGCCCACGTCTCTATGTTTCGTGGCAGACATGTCCCCCTAACCTGGGGCAATTAGACCTCCCTTCAAGTGAACTCACTGACTTCCAAATCTTTCCCACACCCCAGCTAAGGACCCATACTGAAAGCTGTGCACACACTTCTGTAGAAAATTCTACACTCAATTTACTATCACCTTTACACAAGAAGAAAACCCTCCAGAAATAGACTTGGGCATACTGCATCAGTAAACAGCAAAGCAACCAGTGTGTAATGATTCTAACTAATGTACAATGATTCCAACCAGAAACTGCCACAAACCAGCATCCAGAGTTTCCAAATTAGGATAACGTAATGAAACCACAATAAAGGGTAATTCTTCACTTTCAACGATTTGCCAAGATGTTTACCTCATCATTTTCAGAAATGCAGCATCAACCTGACCTTAGAAATACTTTTCTTCATTCTACCATGAAGATAACTTGACAAATGAATACCTCACATAAAGATTTTTAAAGCAATAATCCTGACATTTGCATAATTTCTCCTGTAGAGCTTTTTTCTTATGTCAAAGCAAGATCTATGAGAGCCTAATTACACAAAGTCTCACATTCTAGCATGCTGAGTAGATGAAGAACATCCTAGTACAATACCTTCCCTATGTCAGGTGCTCTGGCAGCATATACACCTGCCCCTTTTTGTTTATACCTTTCACATTCATATTGTCTTATTACTCACAGTTTCACTGCATCATTCCACTTCATAGTGGAGAAAACCAAGACCAATACGGGGTTATATAATTTCCTTCAGGTCTCATTGCCAGCAGAAAACTACTTTACCTAATTTAATTAATTGATTGATTGATTTCAGCTGCCATAAAGGGAGATATATCTGGTGGGGAAATGAAAAGACTTTCTATAAATTTTGAAATCATTTAATTATGAACCAAATTTGTCAAGTTTTAATTGGCTCCAGAATTGCTTTAAGTTCAAAAACAATGTCACAATTCAAACAATATTGATCTTATATGATGTCATAAAATGATGAAAGAGATTTTAAGAAACATATACAGTGTAGCAATTATCATACTGATGAAACCTTGCCTTTTTTGCTTGTGTATCTTCAAAGTGTGGCCGTGGACATACCTGCTCATCTCAGGCCACATGTGACTAAAGAAGAGCAAACACAGCACTATGGACTGGCCAGAGACTTCATCTGCATGTCAAAAAGGAATGCCTATAGCAAAGGACCAAGCCATTGGAACTGCACTGTCATGTCTGACAGCATCTCTTCACAAGACTCATAGTAGCCAGGGATACAAAATTTTCCTTGAGGACACACAAGGCAAAGGGTAATAACTTAAAGGTCAGGGTGTCTGACTTTGTTCAGCTGAGCAAGTTACCTAGATAAACTATTCCTTCCTCTGATGAAGGAAAAGAGATTTTAATTTTACATAGTGAGTCTGCCTATAAATTGCTACAGAATGACAGTGGTTATATTGGTAGTTATGAAAACCTTAGGGCAGTTTCGGGTTGGGGGGGTGTCTATCATAGACTAAGTTTAAATGAGAGAACATAGGACTTATATGAATCTATATATTTATTCAATAAAATTTAAATATGCTGATTTTGGGGAATATACCATAAAGAAGATAGAATCTCTGATTTTATGGACAACAGCATTGAAAATGCTAAAACCACCCATTTAACAATCCAACACCACATATTTGATAGATGAAGTGATAGGTATGGAAGGTCCATCAACACAACACACATTATAAAGATCACTAATTCAGCTCAAAGTGGGGAGGGGCCAGGGTGGTGGATTGAGATAGACTTCTTGGAATCAGTGAGTCTTAAATCGAATCTTAAAGAATCAGAAGTTGGCAGGTGAAAGGAGTGATTGATGAGTACCTAAAAAAAATGTGCAAGGTGAAAAAACAGGCAAAAATGTCTAATGAATTCAAGAAAATTTAAGTTTGACAAAAATGTAGACAATTGGATAGAAAATCATGCTGTCTGTGAATAGAAAATTTTATTTTTTCCTTGTCAGTCTGTATTCCTCTTGTTTCTTGATTATATTATTTTACTGGTTATTTTTTCAATACAATCTGATTTAATAAATAAAGATGGGTAATGCATGAGGAGCATAGAATCTTGTGGTCAGATTAAGTATATAAGTGCAAAGTGATGTTAAGTATGTGATGTAGAGGTGTGTTGTCCATGTAACAGGACTGAGCATGTTCATTAGAAAAATCTCCACTAATAGTTTTAAAAGAAGAATTAAAGTCTGTTGAGTGATGTAAAGGGGAAATATTTCAGGTGAAGAATGAACACCAGATATGAAAGAACAGAAAAACTGAAATAATAGGACATACTTGAAAAATGGTGAAATGTTCAATTTAATTAGAGGACAGAGAAAGCAGAATCAGGGATAATTGGGGAAAAAAAGTTTTGGGATAGATAATAATAAGTCAAACATGCTCTGCTCCAGATTTTAAAAGGAATTCTGTAAGAAATTTTTACAGTCAAAAAGTAAAACAGATTTGTTATTTAAATATATAGCAAACAATATTTACAGTGTGACTTTAAATTTGTAATAATTCAAAATTTTTAAT